TGGGCCCCCCCCTTCCATCGCTTGGCCTGGGTGATGAGTGTTTCAGTCTAATGTCTCTGACGGAGTCCGTTCTGGTCCCATACGAAATCGCGCCTCAGGGAGGGCTGGCTCCATCACGGTCCCTGCCATGCGGCTCGGCTGGTGCGGTCCCTGTCTAGATCTCATGAAACTGCAGGGCGTTTTCGTCGTTTTTTGGCGCGCCAAAGGCCTGGGAGTCTGGAGCTTTTGGCGTTCCAATGGCCGGGTTCTGAGGAATGTCCGGCCGAACCTTCGGTCGTCAAATGTGGACTTGCAGGGATAATATGTCATAGCCATATAGCCAATGTGTCGAAACTCATTTGGGTTTTCTTCCATATTACGTTGTATGTTTGTCCCAAAGTCACTCTTCTCTTGATGAGGACGCGGGACCGCCCCGTGGGTCACGTGGGTGTCCTTTGGAACTGTTGGCATGGCGATCTGCGAACTGCGATCTTATAAACATCCTAACCTCCGCATGGTCATAGCATAGACTTCAAACTATACTCTTGTTGATTGGAACATGCATCAGATGCCATGACTCGAGTTTGGAGAATCTTTCACCCACCCTGCTTAAGGATTCATGCGATTCATGCGGACTCCAAAGTCATGCTTGCTGTCCAAAAGGTACTTCTGACTAGTCGATGTCAAGTGCCCGTCGACGCTCCGTTTTCGTTCACAACCCTCCGCCCGGTCCCGAACCAAACTCATTGGGATGGGTGAGAAGGTACCCCAGACCCCGGATTCGGGGCCGAGTTCGGGTCGCGGAATCGGGTGGCCCCCATCTGAGCGACCCAAGACTCGAAAGGTGTCATGCTATCCATCTACCCGGCTGAAGTCCAGTTCGACGATATTTTGACCGGCTGAAGTAAAGGAAGTTCCCGAACTCAGGTCCCCTGAAGACCATTCTTTTTATAGTCTTTGACTCCAGGGTCTATACAACAAACTTGGGAGGGACCAGCACCATGGAGTTGCCCAATTTATACTACCCTACAATACCCTACACTATATACCCCTTGGATGGTCCCGGTCTGTGAAAAAGGCCCTTCGACCAGCGGGGCGTGTGTCCACACGCCACCAAAACCGTCCCGCACGCGGGCCTCGACGAGGCTGGCGCTCTCCAAGCCGAGTCGCACGTGGTGAAACAGCACTGAACAAGGACTCCTGGCCCACCTCCCCTAGGGGTGGGTGCTTTGGGGGGTCGAATACCACCGAACCTGAGGATATGGGCCAGGAGCCCTAGGGACTGAACAACACTTTAAGACAAAAAGACTTAAGGAACCTAATAGGCATGGCCTCCAACCTACGACCTGCGATGGCCTTCACCCAACAAATTCTGCGCTCGGGATCTTGACTTCGTGAACGTGCCGGTCGACATAGTCAATTCGCTGCTGGTGCCAAAGAGCAAGCGTGAGGAAGAAACGTGTGTGAGTGTTCCTACCCAATAACTTGGTCCAGGATTCTGGTCGGCTTTGAAGGATCCCTTCTTACAGGGCAACAGACTTGAACCTATCTGGCCAACAGTGTGCAAACCGTGAACAGCTTCAGATCATGGAAGAACACCCACAGTCTCTTCTCGGCTGTTTCTTGGTACTTTGATGTCATTTCATGTCCGGTGACTGTTCGTCTGTTGGACATGATCCTTGGAAACTGGCCATGTCTTTTGAAGCATCTGGAAACAAACACACACACACACACACACACGTGAACCATCATCGTGAACCATAGCTAATAGGTAAGTGCAAACTGGACACATGTGTTTCCATGGAGTTCCGTGTGGTGTTTGTTGGATTTGTTCTGTGACGTCTTGGGACGGAACTGGGAGCCGAGATGCGGCGCCGCGGCGCAGCGCGATGCGAAAGGAATATCTCGGAGCCAACAAGGGGTTTTTCCAAGGGAACCACGGACTGAACTGGGTGGTTTGATGTTGTTTGTGTGACCTGATACAAAAGAAACCCGTAAGTAATTACCTAACTGGGATCCTATGGGATAGTCGAACTAGGGTTCCAATCAGCCTCTGTTGGTTGGAAACAACGGTTAGGACAGTTTTCGCACGGAAAACTGACATGTGCGTACCACGCGTTTACTGAGATTATCCCAGGATATCCCAGGAGTCCGGAGACTCTTGCCTAAACAATCCATGGATGGCTGGAAGCCTATTGCCTACATGGATGGGTGGAGATTGAGATGAAGGATCAATGTAGGTATAGAAATACTCCAGGTCCATGGAGTGTTGGGGGTGAACTCAGCTCGCTTTTTCTCTTCGGTTTTGACCATTCAACACATTCAACTCAATTCGTGTTTACATCCTCCACTTGGACAAAAAAGGAGGTCAAACTTCAATCGGTGTCCGCAGGTGGGCATGTCCTCTTGAGGTCCATGAGACTCCCAGTAACCCACAGTTCAACCTCACAGTTTCTGCAAAGCACTCTAGAAGACGGTGTGAAGTGGTCTTCTTCACTTGCCACAAGCACAGCTGTGCTACTATGTTGTGCTGCAGCATTTTACTGAGCTGGCTGAAGCACCTCTCTCACCACTTCCAAATGGCGGTACTTGCACTGGTGCATTGCAGAGCGCGCCATCTTGTGTTTAGTTTTGCTGCATCCTTCTCCGCTCCTGCCAAGCCCTATGTTTTTGAGGGTCCGGATCCTATCCGGGTAGTACAACAATGGTTGTTCGGGATGACCCGGCTATAAAAATCATGGTTGGAATCCAGGCACCCGCGTTCCCGTTGACTGGAAGCCGCGGAACCCAAACGCCTCGTTCCGCCCCCCCCAAACGTGGAGTGCTGCGGGCGTTCCGCGGCGGGCCTCGGGGCCTCCGCACCTGGCGAGGAGGTTTTAGAGCCGATTGGAGATGGCCATGTAGGGAGCCATACCAGCAGCCGACTCTACAGGTCTCCCCTGGTGGCTTTTGCAGTCTTAAAAGTTGCTGGTGACGTGGTGGTATAGACCTTCTCAGAAGTGGGACATTTGGGACACTAGGCCCCAGGTGTCAGGAAAGTCCTGAAGGTCCGGAAAGTCCAGGCCAGATCTTTAAAACAACGACGAAAGGATCCGCACCCGATGGCCAAAACAAGGGTTTGGTTCGGGGCCCCTGTCACCCCGTAGTTCACAGCAGGGTTCGATCCCTTCAGACTGGAGGGTCCGTTCGGATCCTTAAAACAACGACGAAACCCAGGGTTCTCAGGCTTCGGTAAACAGGACGACCCTTTCGCTCGCCTCCATCGATCACCCTAGGTTCGCATGTAGACATTCATGGCCCTCACCCCAGACATGGATTGAACAGCCACGACACGGCCTGGACCCCCGAAAACTCACATAGACCCTGACGTCCTCGTCCCATGGAAGACGATTTTGGGGTTTTCAGGTTCCATGTTAGTCTTCCAGGGTGTAAGGGGGCGTTGACATCTCAAATCTCATCAGGACCTTCCTTTTTCGCCTGGCGGTTTTTGGATCCAATTAGACTACCACACTGCGGAGCGACTGGATCTCCAGCCAGGACACCCTCAACAGGATGATCCGGTCTATTCTTCATACCCTATAGGGATCCGAGTTCGGATCCTCCAGTCTGAAGGGGTCGGACCCTGCTGTGAACTACGGGGTGACGTACAAGTCCCGAACCAAAAACCGTCCAAAACCCTTGGGTTTTTGGCGGGTCCGGATCCTTAGGGGCCTAAGGGTATACATGGAATGTCCGGCTGATGGATGCAACCGGGGGCTACGACCATGTTGGTGGGCCACCCGTTCGTTCGAACTGCGCAGGCGCTGCGCTGCGCAACCCACGGTGCGGAGGACAGCGTCCACCGGCCACGCGTCCACATGGAACTGCCATGGTGCTTCAAGTGACACGGACGACACGGACCCACAAAATGATTCCAAGATTCGATTGGACAAGACCATGCAGACTGCTTGGTGGTGGGTGAAAGTTCAAGTGACTTCAGATGGGTGACCAAAACGGTTCAATATGGTTCAATCATCAGCAAAGGTCGAACATAGACATATTGGACACCACCACGCAGAAGACCCGGGGTCTACTGGTAGAGGTGCTTGAGATGAAGACTGGAAGACCAGCCCAGGCCGATCTAAGCTTCCAAGCCCGCGGCGCAAGGTGTCTTTTCTTTTGAAAGGTTCATGCAATAGAATCACACACTAATTGTCGCCGTGCAAACATTGCCGCATCCTTCACATTCAGGCTTCTTCATGCAGACATGCAATTCTTCCATTTCCGAAGGATTCGGCAACACCTGCAAAGAACATGAAAGAAGATGTTGCCCCTCAGTAGACGGATTTGTACCCCCTACATGCGGGTTTCCATCCCAGTACTGGAGTCGCCGAGCTGCTCTGGCTTCAGTTTCGACTTGTCCTCGATTTCCAAGGCAGGATCTGGATCTGCCCCCGTACCCTCGCTCACACCAGTCAATTCAGGTGGATCTTCAGGCTTGGCTTCCTTGGAGTTCCGGCTTGACCAATAGGTGGCCAGCATGCCTCCAGGGGATGGGCGTCAAACATGTCAAACCAAGATTTACAGCCCCCCCTTTTCGGACCACTTCTTTTAGGATCACAAGAGGGACCGACGATCGAGAGGGACGAGGGACCGCGAAGTCAAGTCGCTTGGGCGAAGGGACGACCTGTCTGGGACTGCCAGGACGGACTGCCGCCCCAGAAAGACCCCTCTGGCACCACCCCAACTGATCGGCATATATGGCAGTCCCATGGAGTGTCTGGGATCAGAGGTTGATGAACCCCAGAAAGGTCTTTTTCCAGATACAAGCAAGGGCCCAGTGGACAGCGGACCATCCAAAATCTGCTACTCCCCAAATTGAAACAGGTGGACACCCAGAAATTGGAACACTTGTCAAGTTGATATTGTGGATTTTCATGTATTTACCATGAAACTTCTGAGAACGGTTTGAATAGCTTTCTTGCTTGGCTTGGAAACAATCATGTGCGAATCTGGTGTGTGGAGGATGATTGCACCACGTGTCAACTCCTGCGCACGACAGCCATGCATGCCTGGCCTAAGACAAGTCCGATCAGAAAGATGGGCAGCAGAATGGAGAACAAGGAGACATCCACCGTATTGGACATCGTGGCCCCTGCAAAAGGGCTCAGCGCCATCAGTTGCCTGCCATGTGTGAAGAAGAACATCATGAGGCCCACCACCAGGAAGAGGTAGTTGGCAAACATCGTGGGTCCTGGAAACCCCATCTCGTGTCACGGAGGTGTCCCGCTTTGTCCAACATGGTCAGTTGAACAATGGGTCGTTAGAATCAAGGGTGCAAACACACATCTTGGGGAGCTGAGTGAGTGGATGTGAGTTGATGCGCCCCCCCGACTTTTTTCCCTGCGTGCGGAACCCAACTCCATAGAACTTCTGCTTATGCTACCCAGACGCGACCCTGAACCCTATGCAGGGCTCGGACCTTCCTCATCGGGACGGGTCGGGAGTCCTGACCCTCACCAATCCCTATCCCAGACACTCCATGGGACTGCCATATATGCCTACATTGGGGATTTTTGAGGGGTCAATGGGGCGGCAGTCCTATGGCAGTCCCATTAGTCGTGTCTGGGTATGGTTTGGTGAGGGCGGCCCAGTCGGGCTGTTTTCATGGAGCACTCCGGAACCGGGACGATCAACTTGAAGATCCAAATCATCCAATCCGCATGCCGATTCGGCAGGCGAACACCCTATAAAAGTCAAGTCGACCGTGTTTTCAAATGGGAACGATCTGGTTTTGTGTAAAACCCATTAGTAAAACAATGGTGCTTCGACTTCTAGGGCTTACATTGACCTCCTTTTCAAGCATCCGAACAGCTGGACAGCTCTTGGGGGTGACCGAGAAGGACGCTCGAGCTGATGACGCCCGGCTGAGGCCTGCATTCATGAGCACTGAGAAAGTCTGATCGAACTTGGCTGGGATGAAAAGGCAGATGTTTTGCACAGTCAGTTGGAAGATCCAGACTCGATTTGGGCGGATAAAAGGGCGTCTCACTTAGTATTCACGCCAAGGGAAGCACCTCAAACAGGACCTCATGACCGTCGTTTTGAGTCAAACAGCTGGGAGTGACATGGAGGCTTCATCCTCCCGGCATCTCAGAGGACCTCCCACCATCGGAGTCAAGGGAAGGAGGTCAATCCGTTTTTTCTCATCAACACCACGACCGGGAAGGACGCGTTTCGACCACGTTTGTCGTTCACCGCCCTACTTCCGGTCCCGAACCAAACCAGGTCCCGACTTCTTCAGGGGGTCGCGTCTGGGATAGTTCTGAACCTGACCCTGAATCCTTCGGTGGCTCTGGATTTGTGCTCCGTTTTGCTGAGCGTGAAGAGCCCTATTTTCAGTCACACCGGTCCTCCAATCATCAACCATGCCACCAAGGCAGTTCCGCTAGCATCTTCGCGCACGGGCGCCAGTGCTAGGCTGAGGTTCAAGATGATGCTCCACAGCAACGAGGAAAAGATCAAGGAACCAGACAGCCCTCCGATGTATTCGGTCACCTTTGACCATCGGTAAAAATCACCGGTCCTGAGGCGTCAGCGACAACGCGTCGGGGCTTCGAAAACGACCCGGGAACTGCCAGGAACACTGCAGGGGCGGCAGTGTTCCACCATCGGTCAGTACAAGCCTTCCGTTCGACTATGAAAAAATGAGAACGACCTGGTTTTGTAGTGTCCTTAGTAAAACGTGTGTCTCTTTTTTCGGGATTCAGACTATTAAATCAATGCTGGGCCAGGAAGGCTAGGATACACCTTGTGGGCTGTACCATCCGCATCCAAACCCAGCAAAATGTTGCCAAGAGTGAAACCCTCAGAGTCCGCGACTTCTCCCCAAACACCAACGCAAGATCCCCCCTCTTGCTCCCCCTCCTCTCGTCTTCCACCTGAACAATCTCTTCCCTCCTTCGCCACCCCCAGCGACCGAACCGCCGCCGCGCCGGACGCCGGACGCCGGGCGTCTGCAACACGAAGGCGCGCATGTACTCCATGGGAAACTCTGCGGCGGTGAAGGCCACGGCCGTCTGCACGTCTTTGTCGCCTCAGGACGTGGTCGAAGGACGGTTTCCGAAGTCCGGAAAGGACGGCCCAATATATAGGGGTAGGTGGAGTCCATCACCAAGCGGTTCCAGCTCCAAGGAGTTGACATGTCTCACCCCTGGTAGATGAGAAGACGGGGATGGCTCGTTCCATCTGAAGCCCAGGTAAAAAAAAGGTTCACCATGCACGAAGAACCCGTCCACCAGACCTGGTCTGTCTCGGTCTGTCTCTGGGTAGCTATCCCAGACGCTCTGTTCACAGGCCGACTGGGCCCTCAAGCACCCCTGGCTGACTTTGTCGCGATTCATATACCCTGGGAGTCAAAGACTATACAAAGATTGGTCTTTAGGGGACCTGAGTTCGGGAACTTCCTTTTCTTCAGGACGGTCAATATATGGTCTTTGCTTCTAGGGTATAGCTATTCAGAAAAACATGCATCTATACCCCGTCAAAGACCTCATTTTACTGGAGATGGTGAGGTCATAAACCTTAAGGAGGTCAATTGACCAGGTTTTACTGGGTCTTTGGACTTGGGAGAAAAAGAGCTTTGTAGACCAAGACCAAGAAATCATCGGCCCTCGAGAAGGGCACATGTACATCGGTCCAAGTCCAACCTGGTTAAGAAGAAAAGAACCCAAACCCCTAGGCTTCCTGGCCCACCATTAATAGGCTGACTACCCAATCAACTAAGGATTTTACACAAAAACCAGGTCGTTCCCATTGTTTTAATGGTCGACTGGACTCCCAGGGAAACAGGATTCACCCCCGGGACTCTTTTCCAACACCACCAGTGAATCCAGCTTCACCCCCGGGACGGACACCAACAAGGGGCTTTTTCACCTCTCTTGTTCGGGTAACAGGGCGAAACGGCCGAAGCAAACCCCATGTTGCTGAGGGTCAGGATCCTTCGAAAAAACAAAAAGAAAGCTTCACCCATCTGGATGATCCTGGACCTGGGTGTCCTGGCTGGACTACCCTCCCTAAGGATCTGCACCCGAAACAAACCAAGGGTTTTGAGGGGCCCCAAACCCTTGTGAACAGCAGGGTTCGATTCCTTCACCTTCAGACTGGAGGGTCCACGGATCCTTAGGGCTATACTATTTGCGAACCTGGACACCACCCCCCTTGGATGACCCGAACTGGGCCATCTCCTGGTTCCAGGTCGCTGATGCATGCGATGTGCTTCTCTGGGCCTTCAGATTCACCGTAGCGGGACTGCACGCCGGTGCGGAGCAACTGCTCGATGTCCATGTAAGTGTTGAGCCGCACCATCTTAGTGAAATTGAAATACTCCTTGCAAGGGCATCCAGGCAAACCACGAGTTAGCTGGGAGTCCCAGTGGTTCCAAAGACTAAAACCATAGACCGAACGAATCCCTGGTTCCTTAATATAGTGTTATAGGGATGCACTGGGCCTTGCAAGGTCTCAGGCGTTTGGCCAGGGCGTTTTTTCTTCCTTGGGGGCGGAAATGGCGGTTTGATCAGATCCTATAATTATATAAGCGGAAAACCCCTACTGCATGGACATCTTCTAAATTTGGTAGCGACCAGCAGGGTTCGATCCCTTCTAAGGAGGGTCCACGGATCCTTAGGGCACCTCTTTTTTACCGAACCCGTCGCTCGTTCCGCTCGCGCCGAGCGGCTGCGCCGTCGACCGTCGTCCGACGACGGGACGCTCCTCGCTGTGCTTGCCAATGTCCTCGACCTTGAAAACATCAATGACAAAGCTCCGAAACTCCTGCAGGTCGAACGGACGTCACGAACGTCGACAGCTAGTCTTAAGCAGCTTGAGCTGCCAGGCAGCGTCGGACGGGGAAGAAACGATGAAGGTCGGGTTGGCCCAAAGAAACAAAGCGAGGCTCGGCGAACCGCATGATCTATATATAGATCGAGGCTCGACTCACGAATGTTGTCTGCTTTCCTGACATGGTGCATCACTGAGGCCCAGTTAACCAAACCCCTTACTTTTTGAGGGCCCGGATCCTGCCTCAAGGTATGTCAGTCACTCAGTCCACATCTGGCCAGACTCCGCCAGAGTCCGAGGTCCCCTACCTCCCGGCTCTCCTGGCTCTTACAAATGAGGCTTCTGAAGTCGGCATATTGCATTTCATCCGTGCCGGGCGCCACCATGTACTGCAAGCCCAAGACGAAGGATAAAGCCAAGGCACTGACCACCCCACCCAGGGTGTTGATGCTGTCCTCAACAACGTGAACTGAGAGTGGAAATGGATCCAACAGAGGTTGAATGACTCGAACTAGACTATCCCAGGCTACCCCAGGTGACGGGGTCTATAAGGTCACTAAACCTCTCTTGGATGGAGATAGTGTGTACTGTCTGTTCCCTTTGGTTCGCATCTTGCCATTTGACCCCCAACCAATGAGCTCGCGGGCGACTATGATGTGGTTTCTCGAACATCTATCATGTACCCGATAGAATTCTGTGTTTCCTCTGTGGTGGGTGATGATACCTTGTTCCACCCAACATTCTCAGGATCCGGACCCTCAAACGCAACACATACCCATAATTACACTCCATGTGACTGGAATATATGCCTACATTGAACCCGCAAACCACCTCAATGTAGGCATATATTCCAGTCCCATGGAATGTATGGGATATGGAGTGGATAGGGATATAGGGAGCACCTGACAGGTGTCGGTCTGTTTTTCCGAAACCAGCTTGACCGCCCCAGGCCGTTCCGCGTCCCCCGTGCCAAGCTTCGATCTCATCGGCATTGTGGCCTCCCCAGATGGAGCTCCGGGACGCCGCGTCCACCCAACCACTGACCTTCCGGGACTTGCGACCTAAGACCCCCATGCCCGGCGGGATCCGGCGGGATGTGGCGGTCAAGTGTTCTTCACATTCCCAGGAGCTGAAAGCTGCGGTCAGGAGGAGGTGAGGCGGCGCCCCGAACTAAAGCCTGGCTTTTGGAGGGTCCGGATCCTTATGCAGACACTGCAATGGGACTGCCGATGTCTGCCATAGGACTGCCGAGAAACGGCCAGGGGTGGTTTTGGGGGGTCTATGGGGCGGCATGTATTCCGTACCCTATATGGATCCACATACCTTCTCAGAAGGCGTCCTTGGACCTTCCAAGCCTACATCAATATAGTCTCCAATCACCGTACCAACCTGGTTCGGTATGTGGATCCATAGGGATACATTGAGTGTCTGGCTTAGGCTAGGCCAGTTTTCACGGTTCACTCTGCCTCCGTCACTCCTTCGCATCTCGTCGCCTCGACGCTGCGAACCCCGGCGGGTCGGCGGTCGGTGCTCCGAGCTCGGAGGGGTGTGAATGAATGGTCCAAACATGTCCAAGCGGTGTTTTGTTTTTGACATACCTGGATCTTCCAACTCTGCAACATGTCTGCCTTGCTTTTCTATTCAACACCAGGCAAGTTCGGCAGATATGTTGCATAGTTGGAAGATGCCAGGTATCGTACTCTTTTTGCACACACTCCAGGTCTCGCTCCAGGTGTGGCACACTGGACCATAGGGTTCATAGAGGTCCATAGGGTCGATCGATGATGAAAGCAGCCTCCAGTGACTCCAGTGTCCAGCAGTTCTGATCAGCAAACAGGACAGTCAGTTGTACCAGGACCTTCCAATTGACCAGTCAGTTCCTTCACAATTTCTACCAGGACCTTCCGTTCGCCCGGTGGTGTGAAAGGACGCCCCGTAACAGCCTGTAAGCACTAAGAGGCTATAGCCATAGACACCCCGAACGGAGGGTCCTGGTAGAGAGCTTCCAGACCAGCATAAACTTTGCAAGGGTAGCGGACGTGCATTGCCAGTCGACTCAACACCTTGGATCTAAAGAGCTTGCCCATTCGGTCTAACCAACAGGTTCAAGTTGAACGGCAAAGGTATTTGATTCGTCATGTGCTTCAAAAACGAGCACTGCAGCGCACAATCTCCTTTGGCTCCTTCTGTGCCAGCTTGTCTCATCTAAGTCGAACTTTCTTGTTGCCGAGAACTTGTCGTGCATGAGGCGAGGTCGCCAAGGCATCAAAGGGAATTCAAGGCATGTCGCCAGGCATGGTCACTTGGACTTCTTCTCTTCAGACGCCTCCTGACGGACGAGCTCACCGCGTTTCTAAGGACGTCGAAAACGGCTGGCAGGAAAAAACGGGCATGTGGTCGGACGTCAGACACCGCAGGAAAGGCCTAGAGTCAGATGCCCCAACATGAAAGACCAGTCATTTCGCTTTTATAGTTCCCTAAGGATCCAAGGACCCTCCTTAGAAGGGATCGAACCCTCAAAAACAAGGGTTTTGAGGGGCCCCAAGCCCCTGTGAACAGCAGGGTTCGACCCCTTCTAAGGAGGGTCCGTTCGGATCCTTATAAGGTGCATGGGTTCACCCATCCTCCGATGCAACCCTCGCCTTCATTCGACGTAGCACCTTCTTGCGCTGTCCCAGCATGGTTCCTCGGCGGACTCGTCGCGTGTGCGGGTTTGGTTGGTCAAAAGGGAGACCCCCCCTGTGGCCCAAGGGGGTAGACTGCGTCGATTTCCGTGCTTCGGACGTTGGGAGGCCTACCTACTTTAACCCTAGAAGTCCAGTTCGACTATATTTTGAGAGACTGAAGTAAAGGAACTTCCTTTTTGGGATACCTAAAGACCCTTCTTTGTATAGTCTTTGGCTCGTAGGGTTAATGTCATACTCATGCTCAATATATTGACCTGTACCGAACAACCGAGCCGAGCAGCAAGCGGTCGGTCCCGACTCCCAATCACCTCTCTAAAGAATGCGTGCCGAACTCAGAAACAAACACCATCTCCCGGTGTCTACACAACCTGACAGGACTTCATACAGGTTCGCGCAGGACGATCTCCCAACGACATGGATGCAACAGATTGATCAAGGCAAACAGTCAGGACACGGGCCCTGGGTGTCGGAATTAGGTCCCATTTGTTTAGAACATCGTCGAACATATATAGTGTCCTTATCCTGTTCTTGATTGGGAGCCAAAGGTTGCAGTACCCCAAGAGTTTTGGGTCTTTTGTTCTCGTATTCCCAGTGACAGCGGATGAGGATGATCATGAGGACGAGGACGAGGACGAGGACGAGGACAAGGAGGAGGACGACGATGAGGACAACGATCATGATGATGATGATGACGACGATGACGATGACGACAATGGCTGAACATTAGCGATGAACTTACTTGTATGATTTGTGGACGATAGACCTGACACAGAGCCTACTTAGACGCCAACGGGCAAAGTTCCGTAGCAGCAGCCTCAGCAGCACCATCACCATAATCACCCCTAACTTGAACAGCATCATCATCGATGATGTCATGGAAATACCAATGAACATGAGAGTACCGAGGCTGTGAAGAAAACATACCCAGACACTCCATGGGACGCTCCGCTGCTCCACTCCAAACACCGGCTGTCCCATCGGAGCAGCGGAGCAAATCGTCTGCCGAGCTTCCAAAAAGCATTGGAAAGCCTAGGACATATATGGCCAAGGTACCTCGGAGGAGAAAAAAGAGAGAGAGAGAGAGGGACAGAAAGAAAGAAAGAAAAACAGAAAGAAAGAAAGAAAGAAAGAAAGCTGCGTTGGTTGTGGATTAAGAGTTTCCCCAAAATCAGGATTGCTCCCGAATGTGTCGCAGAATTCATCCTGGACTCCGATGTAGAACAAGTCTTCTTACTCTAAAGCCATCTCAGGTGTGACACAGACCATCCTGGCCTGTGAAACCCAGCCGTACCACTGCAGCCGGCAGGAGTCCATAAAAGCCCTGGCCCCAAAGACCGCACGCCTCTTGCGCCTGCGAAGAGATGCAAAAGGCGAAGAGATTTCTGGGACGAAGCTCACAGCATCCCCAGCAGGTTCCATGGGACCCCTACATTCTTCGGGGGCAAAAACCGCTGTGGCAGTGATGGCATGCCATGACTTTTGTCTGCAAACGGGGAAAGATAAACACATCCAAAGTGGGTGTTGATCTTGGATGTCCTACAGTGAGTCATGAGGTGATCATTTGTTAAGGGTGTTTCAAAAACATCAAACTCACACCCAAACACGACCTATCTGGGACTGGCATACATATCATATACTACATTGACCCCGAATTCAACCACCAGTAACTGATCGGCAAATATATTATCTCACCCGGATAGGATCCAGACCCTCCAAAAGCAAAGGGCTCGGGGCCCCAGTCACCGCTGTGAACCAGCAGGGTTCCCCTTCCTTCGAAGGTGATGTGAACAGTCCGACGTGAACAGGGATCGTCTCAGACGGATGTCTAATTTCTCTGAGTCGCACCCTCCAGGGATCCCTATAGAGATCCAGTCGTATACCGAACCTCAGGTACGGTGAGTTGGACACTCTAGTGTGCCAGGAGGGTCGTACCGAACCTGGGGCTTGGTACGAAAAGGGCTCCCTGCAGGAATGGATGTTGAAAGGGAACATCTACTTCCAAAATCAGTGGAAAAAAGAACCAAACACAGGTCTTAGAGCCTGGGCACCGGCCTTTTCCAAAGGAAACCATATAGGTGTTCACCGTTCGATGGGTTTGCTGCAGATGTTTTCCGTTTTCCCATCCGAAAACATGTTCTTGTTTGGTGGGATGGTCTCCATTCCCCCGAAACCGGCCTGGTCTGCAGGTGTCGGACGTGTCTCAGAACTTGGTTCTTTCGCTTGAGTCGTTTGAGTCGTCCTTCAGTTTCTCATGACTTTTGAGTTCTGGGGTTAGCCACTTTTGGGTGGGTGGGGTTCCTTTCCACTTGTTCTCTTACCCCCCACCCAAAAAAGCGCGCTCCCACGCTCCACCTTGCTCACCAACTCCGGCAGGGCCGTATACACCGTTCCAAGCTCACCTCGCGCGCGGTCCAAAAGCGACGCGGTCGCCAGCCAGGCAGGCAGCCCTCCATGACGTGTTCGTCTTATGTAGAGTGCATGTGTAAAGAGGCCCTGCTCCCACAAATCTTCAACTTAAAGAAAGGTGTTTCTATGTCTGAAACATTTGGCCAATAATCCGGATGGCCACCACCCATGACGCCATGAGATGATCGTGGAAAAAACCATGCTTGGACTCACAGCCACCACCCATCCCATTTGGATGACTTCTGCCGACCTACGCCTACGAGTTCAGTCGACCAGTGACGAGAGGGATCCCAGAGGGTCGACCAGTCTGAGACGTGCTACGACGAAGACATCACGAAGACAGCACGAGGGATCCCTGGAATTCATCGCTGAAGCTGGAATTCCGAGCTTCACAAGGCTGGGGATCCAAACCGGGCACAGAACCCAAACACGACCTGTCTGGGACTGCCAGGACGGACTGCAGCCCGACCTCCAGTCAACCACCCCTGGCCTTTTCTCGGCAGCCCGGACTGCCAGTCCCATTAGTCGTATGCCAGTCCCCGCCATTCCATGGGTCACCAGGGTGAACGGGGTCCGCTTCCAGGGGTGCCATGACGCTTTCAGCATGAACGGGCGCGCCCACTTGAAGGTCCATGTCGGAGTCCGGAAGTTCAGTCTTAGATGAATAGGGGCTCCTGGCCTACCTCCTGAGAAGATGCTTCTGGTGGGTGCCAGGGGGGTCTAAGCACCGAACTTGAGGATATGGACCAGGAGCCCTAGGGCAAAGACACTCTGACGAAGACATGGTTAGGTGGATGGAAGACGGCGGTTCCTTTACGAACAGGGGGGGTTCTTCCGCTCGACTTCCATGTGGCCTGAAGTCTTCGTCCATGTGACGTATCTATATATAGGGTCTGACGCTACTCGAGTGGACCTCGACACAGTTTTCCCTCGAAGTCCAGAGTCTATTTGGCACCACCGAAAGGACATGTCCTGAACTCAGGAAAGTCAGGCCATCTGGTCACCTTGAGCAGGTTGGAAGCAGCCGAAAGCATCCCATATACACTCCATGGGAGCTGGTATTTACACCGCCGGCCATCGCAAAATTAGTCTAAGGGCCTGGGCCTATACATTCAATCTATCCTATTACCAGTAACATCCAGTATAACAGTGGATTTGTTTCCCGCTTTCAACCTTATCAGGGTACGTTTTGTACCCACATGTCTGTGTCACGTGGTCAGCTGTGGGTGGTGACCTGTGATGTTGTGAAACCTGACGGCGACGTGGGAAGTTCGGACAGACCCCTGCCTTTGGATCAAACCCTAATTTTTGGGATGATCTTTGTACCCAGACGCTCCAAACAGCCCTTGGGTCCCTCAAAACCATAGGGATTTGAGGGTCCGACCCCTCCATATGAGGGTCCGATGAGGGTCCAGGAGCGTCTGGGTAAATCAAAAACATAGGTCGGTCACTCAGGTTCTAGGTCCATGGATCGATCCCTCTCGACCCACCATTCATCTATCGGAACATCTATGCCATTCATCGTTCACTCGTCGTGGCCAAGACCGAAACGGTGGCCAAGGGAAACGCACGCCTGTGACGCCGGCGGGATAGAGCAAGAGGAAGGTGGAATATCTCAGCCACGTGAGAGGCGAGAGCTGCACTCCAGCAGTGTTCAGCGCATAGTACCTGGAAAGCCGGGCTTGGCAGGTCAGGTGCGCAGAAGATGTTGGGGTCCCAGAATAGTTGTAATATACCAACACAGGTTTTTCATGACCCGAACTAGACTATCCCAGTTGGGTACCCCAGGTTGCCCTATAAGGTCGCTGGCTACCTCTCTTGCGTCTTGAGCTTGATATACACACAAACACCCTTGCAGCGTGCTTCAGTTGTGGGGTTCCCAGTACGGCAGATTCTTCCCGACCGTGCTGCGTGGTTTGGTAGGAACCATCCATTGAAGCCAGACCCAGACGCTCCATGTATGCCATATATGCCTACATTGGGGTGGTTTGAGGGGTCAATGTAGGCATATATGGCATACATGGAGTGTAATTATGGGAGATGGTGAAGATCCTTCAACTTTTTCGGGACAGGCTTCCCCGCATCCAATCCAACAGCTGCAAAGTCGGGTTAACCTTCTGACTCCCAAGCCGTTTCCCGGAAAAAAAAAAAAACAATAACACGGTTAACCGTTCTTTCCACCGGCTGTTCCTCTTGAGTGGGGAAACCATTCCCTCCAAAAAGGTTAAAGGATGTTAAAGGGTACCCCCACTTTTCCTGGCCCTACAAGTCAAAGACCTCATTTTACTGGGGATGGTCATACAATGCTTAAGGAGGTAAAAGACCTGGTTTTACTGGGTCTTTGGACTTGTAGGGTGGGTAGGCCTTTAACTCTCTCTGGCTTGAATTGGCATTCAACTCGTCACCTTCGCCTTGGAGCGAGCTGCAGGTTTTGCCTGGTCCCCGTGGGTTCCCATCCAAGACCAAATCCGGGATCGAGGGAGACCAAATGAGTCAAGTCAGCCCTCTACAGGGCGACCCTGAACCAACTGCATATATGTGAGGGTCAAAACCCGAGCACCAACGGAGGGTCCCATGTTCACCGTTCTGCAGCGACGTTCTGGTCTTGCTTTCGGTCCTGTGCAGGTCGGCAATGCCTGTGCTAGGAAAGTCAGTTCTGCTTGTGAAGGACTGACTTTAACCCTAAGGATCCGGTGATCCATAGACTTCCAAGACCTGTCAATGCATGGTTCCCTAAGGATCCGCACCCTCAAAAAACAATGGTTTTGAGGGGCCCCAAACCCCGTAGTTCACAGCAGGGTTCGACCCCCTTCTATGCAGGGTCCGAACTCGGATCCTTAGGGAAGAACCAAATGGCCTATGGGTCAAAACCAAGGGATTCTGGGTCAGAACCCTATAGAGACTCTATAGACTATCCCAGGCCAGGGTACCCCAGGTAGCGAAAGGGTCCTATTTACGGTCACTGAATACCTCTCTTGGTGGATTCCAGCAAGAATTGGGACAAGATTGAGATTTTTTGGAGGAACCTCGCTAAATGGTCTGAAAATGTGTCCATGGATGCAGCTGGCTTGGTTTCATGATCTGCACACGACGCGCGTCGAAAAATCCATGTTACAACCAAATGGCTGAGTGGAATCCATTCAAGACCAAAAACTGATGAGCACATGCTACCTCGGCCTCGACCTGCGGCCTCGGCCTACGTGGCGCGTCGACCTACTCACTTGTCGTCACACACGTCGCACGCGTCGGGGCACGAGTAGCGAACCACCTCGGTGATGCTCCAAGCCACGTAGAACAGAGTCCTGAGTGGAACTTGCGGACGTGCGCCTTCAAAAAGAACAAAACCCACCAAAGTCGAGGTGCCTGTACCAGCACCCGACTCTACAGGTCTCCGAAATGGTGGCTTTTGCAGGTGGTGACCTGTGAAGTTGGGTGCTTCAAATATCTTGGGCATGCGCAAGCGGAACTCAAACACATCGGTATTGAGGCTTAGAACGTTTTCTAGCACATAATAATCTGATATCGCCCAGAAGTACTGCAGAGTAGTCCATCCTGTGGTTTTCCTCCTTGGTTTGCTTCAGAAACCCATACACTCCATGGGACTGGAATATATGCCTACATTGACCCCCCATGAGCCCCCTGGCATCACCCCTGGCCTTTTCTCGGCATCTATTTCCAATCCCATGGAGCGTCGAACGCGCGCAACGCCAAGCTTCGCGTCGCCCGCTCCGGGCTCTCGTGAAAACCACCGGACTCGCTTCCCCCGGTTTCACTCGGCTCCAAGGCTCATCCAGGGGAGCATGGCCGACCGGCTCGCCGCCGACGCCGCCGCCGCCACGATCTGCGCTGCGAGAGGGAGGGAGGCCGCGACGTGAGGTCGGGGCGGCGGCCCCAAGATCCGAAGCCAAAGGGTCGTGGGGGACGTGGAACGAAGTGGGGAACATGAGTGGATTTGAGTAGGGGGCGCCACCTATATATGGGGGCCCTTTTTGAGAAGGCATGGATAGATTTTGGAATGCTGTTGCATGCTGTTGCATATAGGTGTCTGGTGCCTGAAAAATGAAGCCAGTCAGACATTGGAAGTACCCAGACGCTCCAAACAGCCCTTGGTCCCTCAAAACCTAGGGATTTGAGGGTCTGGACCCCTCCATATGAGGGTACGGCCCCTACTTAGGAAGGTCCATGAGCGTCTGCGTACCTAACATTGCCCAACCAGGTGGAACTAGGTGGAACCTGGTCATAATACCGATCTGCCACCCTGCGTTTACATCCATCGGGTTCAGCTTCCCTGTGGTGAACCAACTTTGTTTTCTTGCTGCGCAAAGAGCAAGAAGAGCAGCCAGCAAGAGACCAATCCCACACCTCTGAATTGATCAAAGAAATGTGGGATATTGATATCCTGTGAATTGATCAAAGAAATGCGGGGCCCCCTTAGAAATATCAGAGGAGGCTCCACCTCAGAATATCGAAAGATTATGCTTCCCTAAGGATCCGTGGACCCTTCAGTCTGAAGGGATCGACCGCTGTTCACAAGGGTTTGGGCGGCGTGAAGGCAGGTGTTGCACGTCGGGTGAAGCCACCGGAGGATACTTACCTGTACCAGGACCGACACCGTTCGAGGTGTCTAGACAATAGCCTGTTAGAGGTTCAGAGGTGCCCCAAAACTACCGGACGAACGGAAGGTCTTGGTATAGGGACTATCGAGTTACTTGAACATCATTCAGTGAGTCAACTGGATCAGCGCTTTCGATTCTGCCCCTCTGCCGAGCCCGCGAGGCCGTACTTCCGAGTCCGGTTCCGATGCGCATCGTGGTTTGGACCGAAGGAACTCGTGGACATGAAAAAAGAAATCATATAGTTTCAAACGGAAAGGCGTTTCTTCGGGCTCTAGTCTAAACATGTTGATACTGAGGACTATTTGTCGATTAGATGATGATATCGATGGTTTTTGTGAGCATTCACAACCACCTCAGGTGTCGGTGTCAGCATTCACAACGAGGATCCCACACACCCACAAACCTCCCGTTTCACGCGAGCCGTGGCACGCGCCTGGCCTGCACGGCGCCGACGCGGGACGTGATCTGCATGGCAGTGGTCACTGGATTCGATGGCACCTCAGACGAGCAGGCGGCAGGTTGCAGGTGGAGATACAGCAGGCAGCAAGTGGCGTGGCCAGACCGCTCGACGCGGAGATGAAGGGCCAGATAAGGTGGAGCGTTGAAACAACGGCTGTGATGGAAGAGTCAAAGGTATTCTGAGAACTCATTGATTTCCACATTCGCTTGATCCACAGAGATGAGAAAACTCCCCAGTTTTGATACCCCTTCCAGGGTGAATATAACACAACGCAAAGACATTGGTGTGTACCAGCATCCTCCAACAGGTCACCAATTGAGACCTGTTGGGGCCCAAGAACCCTCTAAAGGAGACCTGTGGGAGGTCCTCTCCCAACCCCCTCTCGAAGAGGAAAAGGACCAGTCTATGTCTAACGGCCCGGGTCAGTCTTCGTCACAGACCCATGTGGACTCTTCATTCCGATCGGGCTCCAGTCGTACCTCCTCAGGTTTGGTGTGACTGGACCCGACAATGGCACCCACCCCAGTCCCACCGAACCTGAGAAGGTACGACTGGAGCCCTAGGGCATGATATTTCAACTCTCCAGGCCTCCTCAGAGGTTCTATACCCTAGGCTTCCAACAACCATTAATTTAATAGGCTTTACCCAATCAACTAAGGATTTTACAATACAAAAACCAGGTCGTTCCCATTGTTTTAATGGTCTTTGACTCCCAGGGTATACAATCCATGTCTGAACCCGGTTTGGACGAATGGTTTGTCCACACCCACATGGTCAGCCGGTGCGACCCTCTTGACATCCGATTTTTTTTCTAACACGGCCCTTTTTTTGCGTGCCAATGGGAGAAAGGCCGGAATGGGAATGCCCGATTTTTCAAACATCGGTCTGACTGAAGACTGATGATGACCCAAGTGACTCGGAATTGCTTGAAACCTTTCTTGTTCCGTGCCAAAGATCTCTCGAACTGGACTTCTAGTGCATACATATGTTTTATCATCTATATAGTATAATATCATTTTAGATATGTTGAATTTCCAAGATAATTAATAGTATATTGTTGTACGAGAAGGCCGTGTTATCCTTCCTCCAAAGTGGGGCTTGAATTAGGTTATCTCAAGTGTGAATGCAAAGGGAAGTATATACAATCATAAAGTAAAGATATATATATAT